TAACATATGCATCGTCTTCCAGGCAGAAAATCTGCCCATCAACCTCTGCTTGAGTATAATGACACCGAGCCTGCAAAACATTCTGCAAAAATTCCATAACACAAAATATTCAGATAATGAAATTGATTTCAACTGAAGTTCAACAATCACACAGTAAACATTGTTCATCAAAAAAAAAAAAACTATCAGCGATTTATTTATAATAACAAAGGAGTATAAGATATCTAAAGTGAGTTTATTCGAATAGTAATAAAACTTCTCTTAAGTTAGTGCATCGAACATGAATCCAAATCTTGTTTAACCGCTAAAGAAAACTAAATATTGCATGTGATGAGGAAATGAAAGCACAATATCATGTCAACTGCTGGATAATGCTCCCACTACCCATGGTGAACACATGTTAATATGTCCACCGTTTATGAGACATTCACATATTGGTGATGTCAATATGTCCAAAAAAATGTCAATATGTCCAAAAAAATACACTATCAATGTGTGCATGCCACATAAGCGGTGGGCATATTAATTTGTGTCCACCGTGGGTAAGTGAGCATTACTCGTCAACTGCTTATATTCAATCCCAATGATAAAACTTCATGTGGCCTCAATAATGTCGTGATCATACACATGAAATTCAGAGTTAAATGAACCATGAAGTGAAACAATGGAAATCCACCATTGCACTGTACAGAAGAAGACCACGCCAGACTATAACGGAGAAAAAGCACTTAAGAAGCATATTTTAGTTTCATGCTCGAATTAGAGGTAAGAACATAAAGCACATGCAAGGAGAAAAAAAAATGAATAAATAAAATGTAAAATATATATATAGTTAAAAAATGGAAATAGAAATTAAAATATTTTTATAAATATACAATAATTGGAGTTTATATAGTATGAAAATGTATACATTTATATATAAAAATGATATTTTGATATGAGTAGCTGACTAAAAATTCCTTGTACACTTCATAACTGATAAATTATATCTTCAATGACCAAAAAAAATCGAGAACAAAATTATATCTAATCACCACAAATGTTATGTTTATCACTCTTATTTTTCTTGTGTAATTATTATTACTTTGTTATAATTATGCCGGTTAAATAATTTTTAAGAGCGATTTGATATTATTGATTTAGTCTTGTCAAATAATTCTTTCACCACAAAACTACAATTGGAAATCACACAATTTGAAAAAGTTACTAATCATATTATCCAATTTTTTCTCCTCATCTTTATTAATACAATTAAGTAAGAAAATAATAATTACTTCACATTTTTAAACAAATTTTACTACACCGATTTTGCTATAGAGTCATCAACAGTTATTCACAAATGGTGTATTGACACGTGTCCTGCAATAAATACACATTGGACATGTGTCAGTACATAAAGTAATGGATGGCTCCATAAGGAAGTCATCCGATGACTCAATATAATTTTTGTTTACTACATTTCTATCACGTCAATTTAATCATTACATCATATGCATTTACAATCTTAAAAATAGTTTGATTCTCTAACAAAATAATTTTTCACTCTTTAACTTCTTTTTGCAATTTAATAATTTTTTTTTTTCTAAATTATCAATATCCAATCCTATTTGGCAAGATTACTTATTCGCTGGCACCCTTCCACTATAAAGTTTTAAGCATTTGATTACCACTTACATTAAATAAATTTCATATTTTATTCTTTTAATCCTTTACTTTCATCATGGATGTTTATGTCACATTCACATAAAAAGTTGGTTCAATTGACAAATTTAGAAAAAAACCAACAAATTCTTTACGTGTTTGATGGGATAAGGACAAACAAGATATTTGTGATCCTTAATTTAGTTATTTATTCTTTTTATTTATTGTTTATTATTTTAATTTGTTAGTAAAGATATTCAGTAGATGTTTGGATCCATGTTTTAAATACCGGTTCGTACCGGCCGGTATTACCGGTAATACCGGATACCGGTGGTCCGACCGGTACATTTACACTCAAAATACCGTTTTGGCCAAAATACCGGTTTCGTACCGGAAAATACCGGTTTTACCGGCAAATACCGGCCAAAATACCGGTCAAAATACCGGTTTATGCCATTTTTTTTAAAAAAAATATTTTTAATAGATTTTTATTATTTTATTTATATAAATTGAATTTTCTACACTTAACTTTAATATGTTTATATTGTTATTAGATGTTAATTTTTTTTAATATTAATTAAAGTTAGTTTTGTATATTATTTATATAATAATAACAAATTAATTTAATATTTATTAAAACCGGTAAAATAGACGGTAATACCGGTCGTACCGGTAATACCGCATACCGGTCGCTACACCGGTATGACGACCGGTACGGTTTTTAAAACATGGGTTTGGATATAAAATTTTTGGTTTTGTTTGAAATTTTTTTTTTAATTTGGTTAATTTTGAGAACATGGTATAATTAATTGTTAGTGAGTATATTAAAATAACATTTAAAATAAAATAATTAAAATTAATTTGATATAAAAGTAGGAGAGAAAACACTTCGACTACCAACAACAACGAGAGATCCTATCATCTAAGGCCACGATAAGCTCTGCGTGGTGCAGTGGACATTGTCTTTGTGGGTCATAACGAACCAATAGTCGCGGACTAACATAGTTAAGTGTCTACATGCTCGTTGTTCATTTTCAATTCTAACCAACTTTAGAGCTACTTAAACTCAAATTATAAAAACTCTTATTTTTTTATATTTCAACTTTGGAATCTATTTTACATCCAACCTTAAATGGTTTTGATAATTTTTTTTAAGACTTCCATTTAAATATATATATATATGTATGTATGTATAACCATTAAATTGCTACATAACCAAATTATCTTACTAATCCTTATTATTTGATTCAATTAACACATAAGTTAAAAGTGTTAATAGTTGTTGGTAAACTTTTTTTTCTGTAGCTAATGACATTTGCTGTCATATCTGGAGCTACATTAGCAGTCACAACTAAAGTAATGCCAATGTTTTTACTTTTTATTTGTGCCCCAACTATACCCCACTAAAAACCCATATACATCGAAATTAGTAACAAGATGCTGATAAAGATTAGATTTTTATCAACTTATCCCATCATAAACCTAACTTGAAAATCACATGTCCATTCAAAAGTTAGCCCATCGCCACTATTTCAGTAGCTATTCATGGCATCCACTCACGGGAAGCTAATTAGACAACCACACAAATTCATGTGTAGCCAAACAACGTGTTCATAATCCACTTTTCAGACCAACTCAAGCCATCTTATACTATAAAACGACAAATTTGAAGGACCAATGCATCTGGGAGTGTGTGTAGTTGTGTGTGATTGAGATGGAGAGAAAGAGGGAGAAAGAATCTCACATCATCCAGCGCTTGCCTTGCCTGGTACCGGTTGGGCCACCGAGCCCTGGCCTCCTCTTCAGCAACGGGTTCGCCCAAAAACCGGACATCTCCCTCCGCATCTTCGTTCCGGGCAACCCTCCGAACCGGAATCCGCAACTCCTCCGCCGCCTCGCCCACCAGCTCGCCACCAGATGCGGAACCACTCTCGACGTCGCCGCCGCCGCAGACTTCCTCAGCGACGTCGTCCTCCACGAAATCTCCGCCTGACTCCGACGAGGTCCGCTTTCTGGTGCGCCGGCTGTCCTCCGGCGACGCCGCAGCGTCGCTTTTGACGGCCGATCTGCTCTTCCTTTTTCTCCCCATTTTGCTAGATGATATCAGAGGTGTATGTGGGGGCAGTGTGGTGAGGGAGGAAGAGGAAGTGGCGGGGCTTTGGAAAAATGGGAATAGGGTTTTAGGGCATTTTATTAATTAATGAAAATATTTGAATTTGTTTGAAGTTTGAGCGGCATTTAGACGGGCGGGAAACTGGAATTGTGAAGGTTGATGCTTAACTGGATTTGATAGAGTGTTTGGAGTCCGTGTGAAATTCCTGTTTTGGGCCTTTTGGGTTTGGCAACTTTGTTTTGTTCCGTTGTGAATAAAATACCATTGTTTATTTTATTTAGAATGGCACTTGTGATGGATTCTATAGGCGGTGACGGCGGAGTTAAAGGAGTTGGCCGGGAAGTGTCGGGGGATGTTGAAATGGGTTGAAAGTTAGGGTTGCCGATTTGATTTCTTTTAATTTCCCTATTTTTCATTTTATTTTGGTCTTGTTATTTGGGCTGGTTTTTATGTTGTTGGGCTGCAAGACAATTTGTGTTGGGCTTAGGCATAAGTTACCTATTTGTTGGGTTTAAGCCTTTTATCCATTAGCACATGTATTTAAAGTTTGGATGATGATGAATGGATTATTATGATGTCATTTGTCTAACAACTTTCTCTCTCCTACTCTCTCTCTCTATTCTCCCTCTCTCTCTCTTTACTTCTTCCTCACGTTTTTCATCTCCTTCCTCATATAATTCATACAATTTGCAGAAATTAATATTAAACAAATAATAAAAATACAATATTACTACAGCCCACTACAATTGGTATCTCAGAGCTGCTGATCCTTGGAAATGGCGGAGAATACTCGCTTGAAGGACCTGCAAGAAAACCAGAAAAGACTGGATCAGTTCGTAATCACAGAATCCATGAAAAGGGAAGCTGGTGAGCAGAAAATGCAAGAACAAATGGCTGGCCTAAGTTCTGATCTGCAGGATAAAATCACCAACATCAGCTCTGCACTACAACAGCAGCTGGGAAATCTGGATATCAAATATGACCATGTGACCACTGTGTTGTCTACTATGCAGACACAATTGCTGAAGCTAAGCAAAGAAAAAGAGCCCAGGATGGAGGAATCCATATTGGGTACCCCTCCATCTCAACAATACACAAAAAGCAACACTCCTCCTAAACCATCACAACAACAATTTACTAACACACAGATGCAGCTGGAAAATTCAACTTCACAGTCTCATTTCATCAACCCAATTCCTAAGGTTGATTTTCCCAGGTTTGATGGTACTAATCCTAGAGGATGGATACTTAAGTGTCATGGTTACTTCCAGATTATCCCTAATATTCCTGATGCACAAAAAATTGTTTTAGCTTCCATGCATTTTGAAGAAAAAGCTGCACAGTGGTACCAAAATTTCTATGCTAAATATAAGAACTGCTCCTGGTCACAATTTTTGGAAGTGATCTCTTCCAGGTTTGAGGAAATCATAGAGACCAGGATAATAGGGGAATTTAACAAACTCAAAAACACATGGTCCTATGAAGACTATGTTGAAAAGTTTGAAGAACTCATGTCCTGTATGCTACTTTTCAAAAATGGAGAGTTTTCTGAAGATTATTTCATTGACAGTTTTCTAAGTGGGCTGAGTGAAGAAGCACAGGCTCTTATTAATATGTTTGATCCCAGAACCTTGCAACAGACTATTGAACTGGGAAGGAAGCAACAGTGCACAGTGGATGCTATTGTGAAAAGGGCAAAAGTGCCTAACAGGTTCAATAACCAATACTCAAATTTCAGGAAAAATGAACCATCACCTGTTAAGACTCCCTACACAAATAACCAATTTAAACCACCTGTCAAGATGCTAACTGCTCATGAGATGGCTGCAAGGAGGGAAAAAGGGTTGTGTTATAATTGTGATGAGCCTTATGTGGTGGGGCATAGGTGTAAAAACAGAATCACCTATATGATCATGACAGAGGAAGAAGAACTTTCATGTTTGGAAAATGAGGACTACACTGAGGAGGAAAGAAAAGAAGGTGACATTGAAGAAATTCAGATGTCTCTAAATGCTCTAAATGGTGGAGAAGGGCTAACAACTATGAGGCTCACTGGGGACTGCAATGGGCATAAATTGCATATTCTTATTGATTCTGGGAGCACCCTGAGTTTCATTCATGAGGCTACTGCACACAAGTTGGGCTGCAATCTGCAAACAGTCAAGCCCATCATGGTGAAGGTGGCAAATGGCCACAAAATGCTCAGCTCTAAGTGTGTGGAGGGTTTCAAATGGGGCATGCAGGGTCATAACTTCCAATATTCTATGAGGCTCTTGCAAACTGAAGGTTGTGATCTAATACTTGGAGGGGATTGGTTAAAGACTTGCACACCCATAGGATTGGACTATGACAGAATGACAGTGACAGTAACTGTTTTGGGCAAAAAGATCAAGCTGCAAGCTAATACCTCAAAGTGGGATTGCAATCTCATTTCTGGAGAAGCATTGTACAAAATGGTGCACCAAGACTGCAATGGAATTGAGGAAATATTTCTTTTGTCTCTAGAGGAAGACAAGGGGTCAGTAAATCCTAAACTGCAGGATCTATTATCACATTTTCAGGATATTTTTCAGGAACCTACAGGTTTACCCCCTGAAAGGGAGATTGTGCACCAGATTAACCTCAAGGCAAAAAGTGTACCTAAACATCAAGCTCCTTACAGAACTTCACATGCCCAAAAGGATGAAGTGGAAAAGCAGGTGCAAGAGATGCTAAGTGCTGGGATAATTCAACATTCTCAGAGCCCATTTGCTTCTCCTGTGATACTGGTGAAGAAAAAAGACAACACATGGAGAATGTGTGTTGATTATAGATACCTAAATTCCCTTACTATCAAACATGACTACCCAATTCCCCTAATTGATGAACTGTTGGATGAAATGCATGGTTCCAGGTACTTTTCTAAGATTGATTTAAGATCTGGATACTTTCAAATTCTAATGAAACCAGAGCACAGGGAACTCACAGCATTTACTACACACAATGGGCATTATGAATTTTTGGTTATGCCTTTTGGCTTGTGCAATGCACCTGCCACCTTTCAATCACTCATGAATCAGATTTTCAGGCCTTACCTAAGAAGGTTTGTTCTAGTATTCTTTGATGACATCTTGGTTTACAGCCCTACTTGGCAAGAGCATCTTGAACATTTAGAGATTGTGCTCACTGTTTTGAGAAAGAATACCCTATTTGCCAAACTCTCTAAGTGTCAATTTGGGCAGACTGAGGTGGAATACTTGGGACATATCATTTCACACCAAGGTGTGGCAACAGATCCTAAGAAGATCTCTAGTATGGTGAGCTGGCCATCTCCCAAAAACTTTAAGCAATTGAGAGGTTTTTTGGGCTTAACAGGCTGCTACAGGAGATTTATTAAGGGTTATGGGGTTATCAGTAAGCCTATGACCAATGTATTGAGAGGGGACAAGTTTGTTTGGACCCCAGAAGCTGAAAAGGCCTTCTTGCAACTGAAGGAAGCACTTACAACAGCTCCTATTCTGGCCATGCCAGATTTTACACAGCCCTTAATCTTAGAAATTGATGCTTGTGGCACAGGTGTAGGGGCAGTTTTGATGCAAGGAGGAAGGCAAATAGCATTCATGAGTAAAGGGTTGTGCCAGAAAAATCAGGCTCTCTCCATATATGAAAGAGAGTTCCTTGCAGTTTTGATGGCTGTGCAAAAGTGGAGGGGCTATCTAATGGGTCACAAGTTCATTATCAAGACTGACCAACAAGCCTTGAAGTATCTACTGGACCAGAAATCTATGAACCCAATGCAACAGAAATTGATTACTAAGTTGTTGGGTCTGGACTATGAAATTATGTACAAGAAAGGAGCTGAGAATAAAGTGGCTGATGCACTCTCAAGAAGAGACAATTCCAATGAGGACTGTCAAGCTATCACTACAGTGAAACCCTTGTGGGTGAAGGAAGTTCTAAACAGCTATGAGCATGATCCTTTCTGCCAAAAGATACTCACATCACACTCTCAGTCTGACAGTCTCTACCCTGGGTTCACAGTACAAGAAGGGCTTATAAGGTTCAAGGGCAGAGTGGTTGTGGGAGCAGATGCTTCCCTCATAGAGGACATTTTGAAAACCATGCATAATTCCTCATATGAGGGACACTCAGGAATTAATGGTACCTACATGAGAATTAAAAGGGTATTTTTCTGGCCATTGTTGAAACAAGATGTCAATGCATGGGTATAAGCTTGTGAAACTTGCAAAAAGAGTAAACCTGAAGCTGGTGCTTACCCTGGGCTATTACAACCTCTGCCTATTCCAGAGAATGCATGGACTCACATATCCATGGATTTCATTGAAGGTTTACCCAAGTCACATGGCAAAAATGTGATCATGGTGGTGGTGGACAGGTTTTCCAAATATTCACATTTTATTCCCCTAGCACATCCTTTCACTGCTCAAGATATAGCTAAAGTTTTCTTGGATTGTGTCTACAAACTACATGGATTACCTGTTAGCATTGTCACTGACAGGGATAAGATCTTTACCAGTCACTTCTGGAAGGATCTTTTCAAACTACTGGGGGTTAACCTAAATATGACTTCAGCTTACCACCCACAGTCTGATGGGCAAACAGAGAGGGTAAATCAATGTTTAGAGACTTACCTCCGTTGCATGGCTCATGAAAATCCTAAGCAGTGGGTAAAATGGCTGAGCTTGGCAGAATTTTGGTACAACACCAATTTTCATACCAGTTTGAAACACACTCCATTCAGGTTCTTTATGGCTACCCCCCTCCTAACTTTACTATCGGACCCTATTTAGACACAGCAAATGCAGATGCACATGACATGATTCAACAAAGGCAGCTAATTTCACAGCAAGTCAAAGAGAATCTATCCAAAGCACAACATAGAATGAAAGTCTTTGCCGATCAGCATAGACAAGAGCGCAATTTTGAAATTGGGAATGAGGTTTTTCTCAAATTACAGCCTTTCAAGCAAAACTCAG